ATTTTTCAACTCTGCACAGTATGTGCAGCTACATAGCAACCAGGATGAAATTAATTTAAATACATTATTTTTAAAAAATTGAGTACCGTATTTTTCGGAGTATAAGACGCACCAAGGTTTTGAAGAGGCAATTTTTAAAAAAATAGTAGATAGAGGGAGAGAGAAAAACAGTAGGTAGGTGGGGGAGAGAGAGTAGGTAGGTAGGTAGATAGATGGATGGATGGAGAGAGAGAGAGAGAAATACAATAGGTAGGTAGGGAGAGAGAGAGAGTAGGTAGGGAGAGAGAGAGTAGGTAGCGGGAGAGAGAGAAATACAATAGGTAGGTAAGGAGAGAGAGAGTAGATAGGTAGGTAGAGGTATATATATATATTGAGAAATACAGTAGGTAGGGAGAGAGAGAGTAGGTAGGTAGAGAGAGAGAGAGAGAGAGAAATACAGTAGATAGGTAGGGAGAGAATGAGTAGATAAGTAGGTAGATAGAGGGAAAGAGAGAAAGAGAAATACAGTAGGTAGGTAGATGTTTCCAGGTGTATTTATCCACGTGTTGGAGAAGGAAATTGCAGACAACCTTCAGTACCTAAGACTTGTTTCTGCTGGCACAGCACTTGGTCAATCTAATTCTCATCAATCACTAACTAAAGAGCTTTCCAAAAGGAGGAAAAAAAGTTTTTGCACTCTGCAAACCTCCCAAAAACGCCCCGTTTTTTGTGAAAACAGGCCCATTTTTTTCAAATAAAAGGCATGAATAGCCTTCGGGGGGCTTGCAGAGTGCTCCCGGGGAGGGGCAAAACAAGCAAAAAATGGCCCATTTTTCACAAAAACGGTCCCAATTTTATTATCAACAAAATGCATACATAGCTGGGGGGGGCAAAAACGGCCATTTCTTTGCTCATTTCTGACCTCCCCAGCCCCCAGGAGTTCTCTGAAAACCTCCATAAGGGTATGCATCGCCATTTTTGTGAAGGGGCAGGGCTTCGGGGGGCAAAAAAATGTTGTATTCGACGTATAAGACGCATCCAGATTTTCAGCCTATTTTGAGAAAAGAGCCAATGTCAAACATTTGTAAAATAAAAATGAACACTCACACAGGTTTAAATACAAACATTATACAAGGAGTAAACAATTTAAATAATGGACTAAATAATTAATTAAGGAGACTCAGCGTAATTATTTCTATTTATTCAGTAGTCAAAAAGTTTCTAAAGTTATCATTTCCAGAAAAATGTATTTTTTCTATATAAAATAACACAAATATACATTTTTCAGGACTCCATTCTTTAGTATATGCTTCATTTTTATAAGATACTATACATAACCATGCAAAGTAATTATTTAGAAATTTTTCAGAATCATTTAATCAAAAAAGCAGAATGTTGATCTTAATATCAAACAATATTAGACATTGAATGAGCTCAAGTACAATTATCTGATAAATATTTGGACAGAATTTTTGGCGCTTATATATCCTTCACCACCTTTTAATTTCTCTAACCATCCTGTTTGCCTGGCTAGCTTTCTTTAACTAAAAATAGATTGAACATAAAAGAATCATATATATTTTGAAGTAATACATCTATAGTTTCTTAAAATAAAAACTCTACATAGGAAACATAATTATATTCAGTTCTTTCCAAATTTCTACATAACAATGAGGGGGGGGGGGAGTCCAAACAGAGAAGACAGCAGCCATGACAGTGAAAGTAAAGCTATACCTTTTGTATATGTATAAATATCATGTAGAATTGATTCCCCAAGCTTTCTTCAGAGCACTTTCTGCAAGACGTTTAATGTAAAAGGACATTCTAAGCTTTTGAAATTATTTTGGCAGCTTGCTACAGCTTTACCATGGCTATTAAGATTTAGTGCTATGCATCGTTCTTGATGTATCAATTGTTCTTTTAGTAAGGAATATTCCCTATTTTTTATTGTTTCACTAATACTTTTGACAGAACTATTGTTCCATATTGTCCCATTTATCAAATCTTAGGGTAACAGTTTTCCTCTCTTTCTATTATTATATATTTTATCTAAGAATTTCCATGCAGTATCTGTTGTGATTGATCAAGTGTTGCCTGGTTCAATTTACTGTCTTCTACCAACAAAGAGAGTGTTCTTAGTCACATTCAAAGTTGTATAAACAAACTAAACAATTTTTCATTGCTTGCTTCTTACTCTGACCTGGTTATGCCTTTATCTCTGGTGCATTTCTTTGGGGAAGGGGGTGCAGGAGAATTGGTTATGAATCAATGATATACTAGGTCTTTCTGCCATACAGTAAATGGATAGAACTTTTTAATCAGATAACTTCTGAATACTATTACATCAATAACAGTGATGTTAAACGAAGCATAATTTCATTTTGAGGAATGGTGGTGCATCAAAAAGAAAATCCAAGTCAATAATGATAGTCTGTCTATTGCTTGGTTAACATTACTGAATAGATACACTTACAAAAGCGGAACAGTAGAAGAAATATATGTTTTCCCTCAAACTATCATAATGTGATAATGTATTTTTGTTCAATTACAAAGAATATTGATAGTAACGTCAAAGATTGATTCATAAGTTATATCTAAAATAGACCTTCAGAATAAGAGTATGATGCTATAACAAAATTTCCTAATCTAAATATAAGGGTTATTCAAATCTTCTCCTCTAGTGTCTGAAAAATGGTACCCATTCTCAACATGGGCAACCTGGCTTTGAGGGTTTTTGTTTTTTTACTGCAGCATTTACATTTTGCACACAAGTGAAATAACTTCATTAAAATATTCCTTAGTGTGGTTCTTTTATGAGCTGCTTCATTTTGAAGGTTTTCAATAGCTCTTTATTCCTCAGATTTTCAGAACTATAGGTATGTGTTCTACTCACATTTTGATTCCCCTTGCCTAACTACAGGTAGTCCTCTACTTATATCCACAAATGAGCAAAATTTCTGTTTCTTAGTGAGATAGTTGTTAAGTGAGTTTTGCCCATTTTACGACCTTTCTTGCCACAGTTGTTAAGTGAATAACTGCAGTTGCTAAGTTAGTAGCACGGTTGTTAAGTGAGTTGGGCTTCCCCATTCACTTTGCATGTCAAAAAATCACATTACCTCAGGACATTGCAACTGTCATAAATATGAACCAGTTGCCAAGCATTTGAATTTTGATGATGTGACCATAAGGATTGTAAGTGTGAAAAACGATCATAAATCCTTTTTTCAGTGCTGTTGTAACTTTGAACGGTCATTAAATGAATGTTGTAAGTTGAGGACTACCTGTATAGCCACACTCCTTGCCCAAATGTAGTTATGCCAATGAATATGAATTTATGGCTTATGAATAAATGTTAAAATCATTGTTAAGCAAATATTTTCTCTCTTTAGAAATTTTAGTACATTTTGAGGTTTGGGGAGGAAGGCTCTTACAGCTTTGAATATAATGCCTGAGAAATATTTTTGCACAACCAGAGGCTCAGAAAAATAATGAAGCCTATACATCCATCTTCAATGGGTAGAATATAAAAGGATAAGAGCTAGCCAAGTGGTTAAATCTCCCATGTTGAAAGTGAGGACACTTAAAACTTTGCTTAGCTTTCTTGGATCATGTTCATGGAATTAAAAGAAACTTCAGCTGGGAAGCATTTATTACAACAAAGAAGCTGAGTTGACAAAAAATGAATTTTTAAAACATGCATGTGTGCAAAGCTATTCTTTAGTATGGCAATTGGCACCCATGCCGACCCTGAGTTCTTCTGTTGCCAGTGAACTGGAAGCCAAGAGCCATCAGAAGCTACCACCAGTGGACCGATCTATTTCAAACTGAGTATCGGGAAAAGTAAACTAAGCTCCTCCAACATAGAAGAGATGGCATCATTCCTACAGACATTTCTACCTAAATTTACTGCTAGCCGTTTTACAAGAAAAAAATCTTAACTCTAAAAAAAGGAGGGCAGTGTATTTTGCATTGCTGAGACTTTTTTATTACCCATTAACATTATTCTTCAGATTCTGAATGTATCATTCCTTATCTGACATATGTTTATTTTTCTACTAAACTGGATCGACAGTTCTGGGACTGTGGGCTAGATTCCAGAGCTTCATTTTGGAAGAAATGGAATTACACATCTTTCTTTCTGACAAGACTTTTTTTTTTAATGGATTAATAGTGTCTTCCTAAACAGCCTTTTATTTTTAAAAATCTGCATTGCTTTAAAAAAATATTGTTTTGTTCAACTTGTTGGTTGTCCTCTGTTAGTGGATATCTGCAAAGGGCATAAGCTGTGTGAAGAATCAATTGAGTACAGCGTTGACTTTTTGAAGGTTTAGAAAATGTTTCTTAATACATTTAACATTGCTTACTGATGTTGAAACTGTTAACACTGATAATCCAAGAAACTAAAGAATTTAAGAGAATTAATATGTGCTATTTTATCAAGTGTTTCTCTAATTATGGATGAGAGTGTTTCTTTAATTATGGATTTCTGTAACTGCTACTTTAAAACAACATGCTTTATAGCAATATTCGCTTTATATTCTTGTTTTCACTCACAGCAACTTTTTAATTGCAGTTAATGGTATGGTATAAGGAGTAAAACAATGCTGATGGAAGGGGAGCTGCATTCTGAGTTTAAAGGTTTGTCGCTGTACTTAGGGATCTGAGTAGTTGTTCTAAATATAGGCTCTTTGTATTCCATATTTTTTAATCTATGCCAAGAGAAGCTCTAAAGCAAAGATACTCACAACCAAGTTTAGGAGACTAAATGGCAAATGTGAGGTTAGGTTCCTGCATATGAACACCCTGTTTGCTCTTAATGTTCTATAGACATACATACCCTTAAAAATGAGTCAGGTTTTGTTTAAACAAACATAGCTGTTTGATGTAGTTTTGTCTTACCTCCATGGTTGAATGGCAGTTTTGCACACCAGTCTCCTAGGTACAAAGAGAATGATTCTAAAACACAAAAAACTTTTGTATGAAATTTGTCCTCATACATTTCTCATCCATCTTTCTTTCAGACCATATACACCAATGAGGGGATCTTTGTCCAATGTGTGGTTTGACAGATACAAGATCTCTAATGATTGCCCAGAACATACTGAAACCATTGATGTGATGTGTCAAGCACTTAACAGTTTGATTGATGATGAAGTTAAAAATGGCATCAGGAAAAACAGAATACTGTTGGGTAAGATTTGTAAGGAGAAATATATCACATTTGTAGGAGAATTCATCCTGTGAGCCAAGGCAATCCTAAAAATATGGTGAATGGCTTTGAAGGTTTCAACAGCCAAAGAGTTTGTAAGTCTTTAGTTACTAATCATTATTATTAGAAACAAACTTGATTTTAACTAGGATTGGTGACATTGGATTTCTATTGCAGAGGAAACATCATTCAATTTATAGAGAAATGATGACATAAAACCCAGTTGCACTAACTAATTATTTTCCAGAGAGGAGTTGTTAATCTCTAGAAAACTGTTATATTGCATAAAGTGGCAATAGAGATTGCCTAAGAATGCCAATTTATTAAAATATCTGAAGTTTTCTAAGCTCTTAAGAAAACAGTATCTTATCTGCCTAAAGCCTTATAGTGATAGACATGGTACAAGATGAAAAATGGAGGAGAAAAAGCCAAAACATGTAGATTTCCTTAGTCCCATTAATACTAATCCTTCCCACCCTGATGTACTCCAGACTAGTTAGATTACAAATCTCATCATTACCAGGTAGCACATTATGCTGTGGATAATATATTCTGCAGTCCAACACAGTTGGAAGACACTGAGTTAGAAAATTCCTGCTTAGTCATTCATGCAGTGGAATAATAACTAAGACCTAACAACCTGAGATGATTCTAGAAAAAGAAGCAACTAAATTTTGGTCCATCCGAAACAATGTGCTGAGGCTCTATTGCTAAGTGTTGCTATGATTCAGAAAGATAGCACAACACTCTTCCATAATTTTGACAATATTGTTTAACAAATTATTATTGAAATTTTCTTGAAAGTATCAAAAACATGTTGTGCTTCATTTCTAATCAAAGTCAATAATTCACAAGTTCATTTTTTCCATTTTTATAGAAAGTTCATAAGTTGTTTCTGGTCACAAATGTTTCCACTTAGTGTGAAAAGAAGGTACCTCACCAAGAATATATTTTCCCTGCCTTTTGAAGTACCGTATTTTCACGACTATAAGCCGCACTGAAAATTCTAAAATTTGATCAAAAACCGGCAGTGCGGCTTATAACCCGGTGCGCTTTATATATGGAAAAAGATCGAAAATCTCTCCCTCCCGATTTTACGCTCAAACTTGAAACTCGCAAGCGAATGACCGCGAGCAGGCACGCACACGTCCCTTGGGTCTCTCCCTCCCTCCTTAGCCGGGAGGCACCAAACTGCGCCCAGCCATCCTCACTTCGTCCTGGTTAAGGGTGGGAGTGTCTGAGACGCCGCTGGGAGAATGTCCACTTCGAGTTGCAGGGATAGCAAATTTCAAGGAAAAACGCAGCTGCTGGAATCGGTGCACCACCGAAAGTTCTCTGGTCTGGCTGCACCCGAGCTGGTGAAGCGCCCTTGCGATCGGAGCAATCGCGCGGCTCACCTGCACTGGCTGTCTCCCTGGCGATAGGCGGGCGGTTGCGAGCACTCCATCAGCTTGGGTGCAGCCTGACCGGAGCCCTTTCTCTTCTCAGAAATGTCTTCTCAGTGGAGCTATAGCAGCCTGCATGCCCCTTTCAGGTACTTTGACACACACACCCCCCGGGAGGGAGGGGGCCAGCCAGAGGGGCATAAAGGGAGCCGCAGCTTCTCTGTGAATGGAGGGGAAAGAGTTCGGCTTCTCTCTGCCATTTAAAGGCTGCAGCAGGGAGAATCCCAACTTTTTTCCTCTCCCTCCATTCAGAACGAAACTGCTCCAGCCTCCCCCACCCCCACGTTGCCCAGTAACCCTAACCTTCGCGCTCTTCTCCGCGTTCTCCTCGGGATTGCAATAGATGTCCAGAAGCGGCTTTTGGGGCTAATGGGGATTGGATTTCCAGCTCGATAGCCCCTGCCGCTTCTGGACGTCTATTGCAGTTGTGAGGAGCCGAGGAGAGTGTGGAGAAGAGCGCGAAGGTTCTTGGCGCTCCGGGAAGCGGGAGAGGCGCGCGGTTTGGTTTATCCTCCCTGGATGTCGCAGTAGCAGCCCCAAACTCACCGATCTCAGTGTTTTTCGCATCAGGGTGTGCTGCAAGAGGGAATGAGTGAAGAGTGAAGACCTTTTCCAGCCAGCGCAAAGGACTCCCCCGGACTTTTTTTGCTGAGCACAGGGCGACGGGCCCGCACCTCCACCACCAGCAATCCGGAAAGGTCTTCACTCACTCTCTCTTGCAGCATGCCCCGATGCGAAAAACACAGAGATCGGTGCGCTTGGGGCTGCTGCTGCGACGTCCAGGGAGGATAAACCAAGCCATGCGCCTCTCCCAGCTGCTTTCGCGGCTTCCTGGAGCGCCAAGAACCTTCGCGCTCTTCTCCGCTCCTCGCGACTGCAACAGATGTCCAGAAGCGTCGGGAAACGTGCGGCTTATAACCCGGTGCGCTTTATATATGGAAAAAGTTTGAAAAATTAACGTTAACTGATACTGCGGCTTATAATCTGGTGCGGCTTTTGGTCGTGAAAATACGGTATTTTTCTTGGGTACTAAATTACCTAGCCGAGGTGGTGCAGTGGGTAGAGTGCAGTACTGCAGGCCACTTCAGCTGACTGCTATCTGCAGTTCAGCAGTTCAAATCTCACCGGCTCAGGATTGACTCAGCCTTCCATCCTTCCGAGGTGGGTAAAATGAGGACCCAGATTGTTGGGGGCAATATGCTGACTCGGTAAACCGCTTAGAGAGGGCTGAAAGCCCTATGAAGCAGTATATAAGTCTAACTGCTATTGCTATACTAAATTCATATCAACGGTGATCAACCACCAAAAAATCCAGTTCTTGTGATCTCTTCGCAAGGAACCAGCTCTTCCAGGGCACAAGGGTGTGATCGTCATATCTCTCCTTCACTCTGGAGATATTTTTGTCAGCCAATAACTGGTTCCTGACTTGCATTTCCACTATAGTGCTGTACCTTCTCACAAGCCCATTCAAAGCAACATCGAACCAACCATCAATCCTCTGCCAGAAGAAATTAATGAGATTTATGAAACTTTTAAAAGATAATTGCTACAGATCCAATTAAAGCATTTGTGGTTCTCTTTGGATCAGCTTTTTTAGCTGTCTTGGAAACTCATGTAGTTTTCAATATATATTAGTTTTATAAACACTAAACCAATAATTCACTTTTATGAACAATTGTAAAAGGAACTAAAATAAATATAGCAAGGATGCAAGAAATATGAAACAGATTTGGAGTTTACCACAAAACCAATTATCTGAAGTCTTAAGAAATGTGAAATATATCTTATTGTCTTAAAGCAAAGTTAATTCATCAAAAGAATTTTAAATTTATAAAATCCAAAGGTGGTGTTTGAGAAAGTGAGGCATTTGCCAGTCAAATGACAAATTTAACACCAAGTCTCCTGTTTGCTTTTCAGCCATTTGTTGTATTATTTGTATCACCTAATCATTACTTATTTTTCTATTACATTGTGGTCAGGGAATCTAACATTCTGTCCTCACTAATAATTATTTTAAGGGAGGAAAAACGTTTGCTTAAAAATATACAATACAAGCTGCACATTTGTTTGGGAACAAAAGAAAACACTTCTGAAATCTTCTAAATATGTAGTTTAATCTCTCTCCTTATCTTTAAAATATATCCACAGGTGGTTTTTCAATGGGTGGATGCATGGCTTTACAGTTGGCTTACAGATATCACCAAGAGGTGGCCGGAGTATTCGCTCTTTCAAGTTTTCTCAATAAGAATTCAGCTGTTTACCAGGTAGATGCTCATTAGTTTTTAAATAATCCGCAGTTCTACCTTGTATTCATAAAATTATTCCAGAATTGGCAAAAAATAAGACATCATGAAGTAGCTGTATTTGTTTCATCTACTGAATTGTTTTTGTTTGTTGGACATTTTCTTTTAACAGAATGGCAAGACATAAATCAAATAAACAATTGGGGGAGCACATGGGAATTCATCCATAAGGCTTAAACTATGCACAAAAAGTCCACCACACTTTACATTTTGTAAAGTTCATGGATTGTCCACACTTGGATTGCCCAGTACTATATTTTTCTATGGAATCCAAATTACTTCAATAAAAAAGCTCATTAATATCTTATAAGCTTGTAAAAAATCTGCATTGGTTATATAATTTCCTTGTTTCCTTCTCTTGAAGGAATCCTTGACCAAATAGGTTAAGAACAGGAATAGTCGGCCACATGTGAATGATAGTTATAATATTGTGCCATATATGAGGGCAGGGACAGAAGGGTTCTTTCCATTAATGGACTTACATAAGTCTAGTTTCTTCCAGAGCATTTTTTCTTCAGAGATTTGGTTAGAAGCTACAGATCAGAGGCAAAGTTCATGCAGTTGAAGCCTTGTCTTTGTTTTGGGGCATTTCCATTTGAAGCATCGAAAGGAACAGGCCCTACTATGCTTGGTTCTTTGAAAACTCATTAACACGACTGTTTTAAGCACTCACAGCTTCATACAATGCGCAAGAGAACAGGCATTTGCTAGTGGGTATATCTTTCTATCACATACTTGTCCTGTCTCCTTGTTCTTGTGTGTTGGAAAACAAGTTTGAGGTAAGGAGTCTGCTACAGTTTTATAGAGGCTTTGCCTGATTTAAAATTGTGATAATGCAAGATCAACGTAGCATAATAAACCTGCTTGTTTATAGGGTCCTTCCAATGCAGACCTTCATCCTATATGTATAAAATATTAGGTATTTTAGGTGGCAGAGCCAGGTAGCACATATATGTTCATACTATTTTCATTGCATAAAACTTGCACGCTCCCTTATTGTATAATTGTCTGCCTTTTAAATGGAGAAGATAATGAATTCAGACAGAGTCTGGACAACTATTTCCTTTTTGTTAAAAATGTACATGATTTAAGATTGTTAATGTCTCTTTTGCTACCAGGCACTGGAGAAGAATGAAAGAGAACTCCCAGAGTTGTTTCAGTGTCATGGAACTGCTGATGAACTGGTTCTGTATTCTTGGGGAGAAGACACCAACAAAACATTAAAAGCTCTGGGAGCAAGAACTACATTTCTGAGTCTACCAAACCTTTATCATGAACTAAGCAAAAGTGAGCTAGAAAAACTGCAATCTTGGATTTTGAAAAAATTGCCAGAAGAGCTTTGATTAAAGAACAATAATGGAAAATACCATCGTAAAGTAGCATTATTTTATATATATATATGAAAGTGGCAATGTCTGCAAAAATTCATAAAATAGGGCATTGATAATTTTATTCAGTGTATTTCAGTTCTTCTTTTTTTATTTCTGTATCTCAAGTGATATCAAATAGTCCTTCTCATATTGAAAAAGTTGTATACATACCAAGACTTGTCTATATAGTTCAGTCACTTGAGGTGGATTAACACTATGATTTTATTTCAATGAAATTAATTTTGTGATTGTTTTCTTTACATTACATGACAAATGGCAGCAAGTTAAATATTAGTTAAGTTAAATATTTCCCAGATCCATGTATGGGTAATCCTCAATTTAGAACCATAAATGAGCCAAAAATTCCAAGACAGTTGTTAATTGAGTTTTGCTCCATTTTGCAACCTTTCTTGCCACAGTTTCCACAGTAAATCACTGCAGTTAAGTTAGCGACACATTTGTTAAGTGAATTTGGCTTCCTCATTGACTTGCTTGTCAAATGGTCACAAAAGGTGATCACATGACCCCAAGTCATTGGAAATAGATGCATGCATGTTGCCAAGCACCCAAAATTTGATCACCTGATCATCAGAATGCTGCAACAGTCATACATTTGAAAAATAGTAATAAGTTACTTTTTTCAGTGCTGTTGTAACATTGAACAGTCACTAAACAAATGGTTGTACACCAAGTACTACTTTTATCATTTTGATTTACTTTAGACAATTAATCCAAAATCACTTGTCATCAATAGGTTTATATTAATTACATTTATTCAGGCCTGAGTGTCTTTGCAATGTACAAGTACTGTTTAGTATGCATTCTTGAGACTGCATAATTAGACTGCAGTTGCTTGTTTCTATACCATTCTTCCTCCTGGATGAGCCAGTTTCCCGGAGATAGGTGTGGTGTATGTTGTTTTACAACCTTCATAATAACAAGAATACTTAAAAGCTAAGAAACAGAATAAACAAAAGGCAGAATTAAAGGCAGTCTATTCTTGCAAAAATTAAAGCTAGAATCAAAGCCACTTGGAATGATTTTGTATAGTGCTTTTTTTTCACACTGCAATGTTGCAAAGTAATTCTGCAATGCAGTTGTCCAACAGTAATGGGAGAGAAAGAACTGCTTTTTCAGAAATTCAAACTCAATTTTCAGCGGGGCGCAAAACATTTCGATTTCAAAATATTTTGAATTTAAAACAGTTCTATCTGTAGCTCTCCATGCTGAAAATATTACACACTAAATACATTTCGAATCTGAAACGTTTTACACACCTCTTTTGACTCTATATATTGAGATAAATGTAAACTCTCTTTCAGAAGAGAGAGAGAAACTGATTTTAGCATGTCTATGGATATTCTCAGTCATCCATGTCATGGTTGTCCCAAAGGTGCTTTTTTCAAGAGGCAACTGGACTTTCTGGTTTTCTTTGAAGACCAGATCTAATCCAAGAATCTTCTTCATGATTTTAGCATGCTTAATTTGAAAGATGTGTGAGCTTCAACTCCATCTTGCCAGGGAATTTTGGGAGTTGAAGTCAACACATTCACAAGTTTGAGAAACACAGTCATAATTTAGGGCTTGTCAAATTTTTCAACTTTCAGTTTCCAAATATTAGGGGTGTTCAAAAGTTATGACATGCCTTGGAGATTGTGAAGATATTTTGATTACTTTAATATAATTTAGATGTGCTTGGTAAGTAATTACATAAATATCATAACTTGTTAACATTTTGTTCGTTTCATTGTCATATGGTTGGAGAAATTCAAAAGCAAACAACAAAAGTATGATGTTTTCTAGCCACTGGAATTAGCTCTGATGTTTTAGGCAATATAATTGTCATGACTATAAACTAGTACACTTACCTTCTACACATTTCTCTAAATCATTTTAAAGAGGGGAAAACCACCTGGCAGATCTGGAGGTGGGGCGGAATCTTGATCTTCAGAGCTATTTCATAAAAACTTCCAAAGCTGCTATTTGACATTTGCAAAGTACCTAATTCTTCAAGCTGATGAAAATGACATCAGATTAACCTATAACTTCTCTCGGGTTTTCCTAACCATAAAAGTGAGATAGGCTGAGATGAAAGAGAGAGAAATAGTCCAAAGTCACTCTGCTGAGGTTCAGTCCTGAACCTGAACTTAATCGCTGCCTGCCACTGATTTGTTTGTGGCAAAGATACCAGAATAGGTCTGACCACCAGAAGGCTGTTGGTCGCTGTACAACAGCAGTGTCAAACTTGCCACCCGCACTCCAGATGCGTTCACGTGCTGGCCCTGCCCACCCCATTTTAGCGAAGGGAAAAAGTTACGATAGTTGCCTGACAACAATGTGTCATCGCAAGTTTAACACCTCTGCTGTACACTAACAGTAAAGACCTTCTATTATCAGTCCTTCTGTAGCCAGAATCAGAGGGAAATGGGTGGTTAAGAAGTATGAAAAATAAACAAATAAAATTTCTCTTCTGTATCCATGAGCAAGAGGGTAGTATCAGTCAATCTGGGAAATACCATGCTTCTCAGAACTACAAAAAAAATGTTTTAAAAAACGAAGTAGCTCCTTTGAGGTTGAATAAGCTCGTTTAGGGGATGGAGAAAGGAAATAAAAAGAACAGAATAAAAACCTAGTAGTATGACGTGGCTAGCAGCATGGCTAGCGGTGAGAACATTCAAACTACAACATTTTATTGCAAGGAGTCACTTGTACCCTACAATGTAGCCATATGTGGCTTGGAATCTCCTAATTGTTGGAGGCATTAAAACATTTCAGAGCATGATGATGAGATGGGAAACTTAATCACTGCCATGTGTAGACTTCTTTTAGAAACATGCATTATATAATTTAGTGTGACTGACTTCAGTGTGACTTAGTTTCAGGAGTTAGTTCGCATTGATGATACAATGATATCGGAATGATTCTAAAGGTTGAAATACATTCATGCTGACATTAAAAAGAAAAAAACAGGCGAACCTTTTGTAAATGTACGTATCATGAAATCATCCTTGGCTTCTTCTCAGGCTATTCTTTAAAAAAAAAAGATGATGATGCTTCTGTAAGCAGAATCTCTACGCTGCTTACAGGACTGGCAGTGCTGTTCTCAAAATGGTGATCTTCTCTTCCCTGCAAAAATAAATGTTGTGAAACTGCATTTGATTAATGCCAGACTGCTGACACCTCTAATATTCTTCACGGTAGAGAAGAATTTGTGGTCCTGCTGTCAGGACTGCAGAACTGAATTTGTTAGGCTCATGTAGGTAAATATGTACGGTAAATGTTTCCTTTCTTCTTTTGGGGGTTAGGAATTGATTGATTTTTTTAGGTTGTTTTTTCAAATAATGAAGCAATAAAACTCACAGACTCTGTTATGATAGGCTATTAAATACAGAGATTTAACCCCGATCTATCGGAAAGGTTGGCAGTTCAGTAGTTGAAATCCCAGCGCCGCGTAACGGAGTGAGCTCCCATTACTTGTCCCAGCTTCTGTCAACCTGGCAGTTCAAAAGCATGTAAAAATGCAAGTAGAAAAATAGGGACCATCTTTGGTGGGAAAGTAACAGTGTTCTGTGTGCTTTAGGCATTTAGTCATGCTGGCCACATGACCACAGAGATGTCTTTGGACAGGGCTGGCTCTTGGGCTTAGAAACAAATGAGCACCGCCCCCTAGAGTCAGGAACAACTAGCACGCATGTGCGAGGGGAACCTTTACCTTTAATTCCAAAGGAGGATAGAAAATTCTGCAGATCCAAAAGTTAAATATTTCATTTTGTGATACTTCCTTCAGGTGTATTTTTGCTTTCGGGCTACATACTAGTTTTAAGAATCATGATCTTAGAAGCTTTGACATTTCTTTCAACCTTGTGTGTCCTCAAAGCTCTTTTCCATTTGGTTACTTTGCTTACAAAATAAATGGCTCATGAATCTGTGTTATGAACCTTGTGACTATCTTCATCTTAATTTATAAATTCTTCAATTTCTATTGTACTTCCACTAGGAATAATTTTTTATAAAACTATTACACTTTATTGCCCATGTTTTAAAAGATCAAGTAAAAAAAAAGGTTTTCGCTTTTGCCTATTATGATGACTTAGCTGGAGGACATCTAGTTCAGGAAAAAATTGTTTGGTCTTGTTATCTTTTCAATAATGAATGTTTAATAAAGAGAAACCTTGAAAGAACAGGGTTTAAGAACAAACCTCGAAAGAACACTTTTAGGACAAATCAAAAGCCAGCTAGTTAACATGTCGCATAGGGAGACAAATATATGTAGGTATATATTTGAGGTCAAACAGCATGTTATCCTCAGATACCCCACTCAAAGCTGTTTTAGTTTTTGTGTGACCATAGACAGAAATGATGTGGACAATCATGTATGTGCATTTGTATTTACCATATTTATGTTCTGCCTAAAGAGTAGTCTATCAAGTTCGTTAACAAGTGAGAATAAATACATAACAGCTAAGTTCCTTTGAAAGGCTTTACTTGTGAAAATTGGTTGTGTATTGTGGAGAGGCTTGAAATGATGAAAAATATCGTTGCTTGAAAGAAGCTGCTCCAACTTACACTTTGGAACCCTTCCCCATCACTGTTATCTGGAAACTAGGCCCAAGCAGCATTAGATGTTGAGTCCCTGGATAGATAGCTATATTGTATCTTCAGTGGAATAATTGTTGAGCTGCAAAATCTGAATTTTTGATCGTTTCAATAAGATTGCTAATGTGGTATTTTAGACAATTAAGTACACCAGCCTTGCTGATGACCAAGACTGAGCTTTTTATCTCCATCCCACTTATATATCCCACTTTTCCTTATATGTCTAGTCTCCAGGATCTGATTTGTTTTGTTTTAAGTAAGCATTCTAGAAATTTGCTAATATGGTTGGGGGGGGGGGACTTCAATCTGAAAAGCAGATCCTGAGTAGAACATTACTCAGACCCCAGAGAATGGAGAAGTAGGCATCAGATACTAATTCAATTTGTCTCCTAT